AGCCGATGCGACCAGGCAATCAGCTAACAGGGCCCGTGAAGAGGCAGCGCGGCCAGAGTCGGACGATAGCTCAGGTCCGCAGCCACGGCGAGGATTACGGGTACGTAAATAGTAAAAAAGTAAAACTGTCCGTTGCTTTGCTATTTCCCGAAACGACGACGTAAGGTCCAGAACTTGTATTTGGTGGTAGGTTTATGTTATGGCTTATGATGTTAATTTTTTTGGGGTGGAATTTTCAGGCGAGCTTCACTTACGACGGCGATTCCGGCGTTCTCTCCGACGCCGTTTATGTTTTGATGGGATTAAATTAACAGTCAGCTATTGTTGATGCTCGAAATTGGGTGAGAGAGAGAGAGAGAGAGATAGAGTGTGGGTGTGTGTATATGAAGTTTTAGGAAAATGACAATTAAGTACATGTTGAAAGTTTCTTGTATTGTGTACCCTCGTACTCAATTAGTGCAATTGTATATTTCCCACCATTGTTATTAAGTTTTCATTTTCTCTCCTTTCTTTTGTTGAAGAAAAAAATGACATAGTGAAGAAAGAAATGTTACAATTACAATAATCCATGAATTTAAATTAGCTTAGTAATGTATTTCTTACCGAGATTGAAAGAGGTCTCACTTTCGAATCTAGTTATAGCCAAAATAAAACAAAACAAAAAAAGAGTTCACCCGCACGATACAAAACTCAAATCTTGAAAATTCAAACCAATGTCCCAATTTTTCTGAACAAGGTGAGTCTTTGAGTTTGGTTGGTTATGTGTCAATAGATATCAATTTTTTTCAAGACATTGAGCTCATCAGAAATTTTTGATTTTATAAAGCGAGACATAAGTCTTGAGGCCTACGCCTTTTGAAACTCTGTATCACCTTAATTAGAACAAAATTATGGGTCATTAAATTAATAGTACAAAAACAACACTGTGGATCTTAGAGGCAAGATTCTAAAATCCAAAAGCAATGACCTTAAGCCCATTCAACTAACCCATATTCTTTTATATATTAAAAAAAACCCTCATTTTTATTAAACATATTGGAGTAAGACCAAACAGAATAATGAAAAAATAGAACAAGGGACCCATAAAATGTTAGAGAATGAAAATTTTGGAAGTTGTGTGTTCTTTTCTTGGGGTTAAAGAAAAATCCATCCTGCATTGTGAAAAACGCTGTTTTGTTCAAGAACAAATATACGTTTCTAAGAAAAACGGTTCATGTCATCAAAGACGGCATCACGCACACCAAAACGGCATCATTTGTGGAAAATCTGTGAAAAAATATAAGGCGGCCATCATAACACCATAAATGGCTCTTGGTCTATATTAATATTTCTCTTCTTATGTTAGAAGAGGTTTGATGTTCAAATTCCCCTATGTTGATTAAAAAAAACACATTTTCTTCGTCAGATGATTCGTCGCTGCCTCGCCTAGACGTGCACCTAAAAATTCCTGTCATGACAATTGATTCAAACAAAAATGTTCTCCAAATTTGAGGGACAAAAATCCAATCAAGTTAGCTAGCTGTTTTGTTGGGTTGGATATCGGAAATAGATATGGTACGTTGAGACTTTGAACAATTTTATAATATAGTAAGGTTTAAAAGGTTAGGTAGGTTAAGAAATGATGGATTAGGAGAGAAGCCGAGTCGTTTGTAATGGGGCTTAGTCATCACAGAGGATAAGGTTTCCCAATATAGTAACACTACTGGGTTTTGATGTTTGATTATTTCTGTACTTTTGCAGGAAAAGAAAGAAGAGATGCCAATAAACAAATTTTTTTTTTGGTTCTCTGGTTTGGTCCAACCAAGCTTGTGTATACTTGGTATACTGTTGGATGCTCATGACATGAGCACTGGTTTTTATAACGTAGAAACTAGCTACAAAGTCTGCAGTGTTAGAGCAGGATCTTCATTTGGCCTGCAAGATTATAAGCAGCATCGTTCGTAGATCATCGAATGAATCTGTTCCTCAACCGCAACATAGTCATAGTCTAGTCATTTACTTACCTATTTCTTCGTTGCTTTTATTTAGGTTTATATATGTTGCAAATGGAGAGCATTATTTGTTGTTTCATTGGGCTTAATTGTTTACACTTTCTCTTGAGTTGAAGCTTGGAAGGATTCAAACGCCAACTGGATTGGGAGAGTCAAGCCCAATAATAATAGTCTATATAATTGTCAACTCCCAATGGCACTGGCAAGAGGCAAAAGCTGGGTCATATCCAACTCAGCCCAATGCAGACATATTTGGTCTAACAATGTCATGGAAGTTGAGGTATCTCTCTCTCTCTCTTCATTTTAAATACTGGCGATAATCTAAACTATAAAGGAAAGGAGAGTACAAACTACTAAGGTGTCATGTGTGGGTTCTTAAAACCGTTTTCCACTTGGTTAGACCCCGAGTTGACTTGAGATCTCTCTTCTTATTATTATGTTGGGAGTGGGGTTAAATCCAAGCCATCGTCCATTAAACAGTTGACAATATGGCAGGTTTGGCCTTTTTGGGAGAGAAGCAAATTGCAATTAAAAATGAAAAACAATATGTGGTGTTGTTTTTGTTAATCTTAGGATAATTTCCCTAATTCTCAACTTTCTCTTTAAAATGGGATTATTTGAGGGGTGGTCATGCATGATTGGCTCCTGATTGCAAACGATCAACAATACATAACATACTCAAGAATATCAAAGCTATATATTTATATCATGTGAATCTAACAAACTTATTCTAATCAAGTAGTTCAGATTTAGAAAAATTGAAGCAGAAAAAAATGCAGAAACATGACACTAATTTTTAACTCACACTTCTGCAAGCACCCTCCCCATCCTCCATCCCAGCCATAGTGTCATACAAAGGCTTATTAAGTGTCTCAGGCAAGTAAAACGCAAACACACCTCCGGCAATCCCACACACCGCAAACACCGCAAACGGAAAACCCCCTCCCAAAACCACCACAAACGGCGACAGGATCGCCCCCATTTGTGCCGCCTGCGTGGCACAGCCGAGTGTGGCACTCCCGTCGTATAAATAAACAACAAGTTGTAAGTCCCCGCCATCCCAAAAATTCCCAAAATCCCACACACCATCTTAACCACCTTCCACACCCCAGCATTCCCCACAAAGCTCCCTGCAAAACAAAACACCCCACTAAACCACAACGTCCCGATCGCCAAGGGCTTCCTTCCGTACTTGTCAAGCAATATTGCCGTGATCGTGAAAGCTGGCATTTCCGCCACGGCGTTGAGCAGAACGTTGATGTAGAGGTTGGTTTCAAGGTTGACGACGTTCAAGCTCAGCCCATAGTACACGACGGAGCATAAGAAATTTATGGCCACGGCTAGAAATAACCTCATTCGAGTCATTGGTAGCTTGATGACATCAATTAGAGAACCACTTATTGCGTCTTTGCTGTCCAAAAGTTCCTTGTAAGTTTGATCTTCCTCGTTTGTTGTAGGACTATCGTTGTTTGCTTCTTCATCTAGGGTTAGGACAACTCCCTCAGGAAGGTGTTTGTTATTGGACTTGGCAATGGCGCGCATTAGTTTCATGGCTTCTGTTATTCGACCTCGTACGAGGTACCACCTTGGTGACTCAGAGACAAATGGGAGGACGGCGAGCAAGAAGAGCAGGGATGGGATGGAGGAGGCAATGTAGAGTTCGCGCCATTGTGGGAAAATGTAGGCTATGCCGGAGATTGAGAAGAAGACACATGTGGACATTCCTGCGGTGCCCCGCTTTGTGGGGCCCACTGGCTCGGTGGCAAGGACAAAGGCGCAGAGGCCTACTCCGCCCGTGCTGAAGCCGGTAAGGAGGCGGAGGAGGACATAGATCCAGTAGTTTGGGGAGAAAGCTGTTAGGCAACCGAAAATGGTGTTCATGATGCATACAACGGTCAGGGAGCCTTTTCTTCCTAGGAATGAGTCTGAAAGGTGGCCAAAAATTCCCGCACCTGGAATCAATGTGTGACAAATGTTAGTAGCCAGTTGAAATATAACACGGAAGGCATGGTTTCGGATATCAATCTACAATATTTGATACATTGTTATTATTTAATAACGTCAATAAGATTAATACTAATAATATATCAACTATTGTAAATTAGCAATCTCTATAACAAGCTAATTAATAGCTAAGGAATATAAATATTAGAAGCACGAATAGCATTACACAATCAAATTTAATGAAAGGAGAAAAAAAAAAAACTTTGAGGACGATGTTACATACTGGGCTGGGAAAATGATAAATGACATATTGCAATGATCCGCCACCAAATCGCATTCTGTACGAATTTTGATGCTAATTTTGTGTATGATTCAGTGCTCACTAGTCTCTTTCGTGGGGCTATAATTAAAACCATGATCGCGACTGCTATGATATTATCTGTGGTATAACATTCAAAATCTTCATCTACCATTCTTGAAGAACTCAGAGGTTCACGACTCATGGTCAGCTGACCAATTGCCTGTTCAGGGATAATTGTGACACTTAATGTCCACCTACAACTATGGCCAGTTATTTGGGCACACATGCAAGTAAAAGGAGAGGGCTGCTATATGCTACATGTTAAGTCCTAATGCATGTAGTTAGGCTACTGCATGCATGTTTGTCTCTAAATATTAAAAAAAAGAAAAAAGAAAATTGAAGACCTTTGTACTTTACCTTTTAAAAGTAGAATCGATAGTTTAAACTACAAGTTGGAAGGCTTCTCGAACACACAATTAAGATGTCATGAGATTCGAACTTGAGATTTTTGATTTACAAGTCAAGTCTCTTTCAACTGAGGGGCTCCTTGACTTCTTTTCTTTTTCTTATTTGGATAATAGAAGTTTGTAAGTGAGTAACATTTTACGTTCTCTTTTAAGCAGTGCAGCTTTTGCTTTTGGAAGACTCGAGAACACAAAGTGTCAAAAGGAAAAAGAGAAAGCTAAAGATAATTCTAGTAGACCAAAGGAGTACTTTACAGGTAAGCTGGAATCCTGAAACGGATTATTCATTGATGTGAAAAAGCCTGGAATTGGTCCTAGACAATTGAGTTCACTTTCGAAAAGATTGGGACCACCTCCAATCTTTTTCACTCTTATTTCCTTTCCCTCTTCCTTTATGGTACCATCACAGGGATCAGGAATATATGCATATATATATATATATTCGTGCACAAAAACAGAAAAAAAAAGAAAAAAAAAAAGAAAGAAAACAAAAGAAAATAAATATTTGTGCAAAAAAACAGAAGAAAATAAACATAAGAAAGTTTCCCTTGTTTGTTTGGATATATTTGATGTACTTCATGTTCGATATGCAGAAGACCACGTGAGAGGCTCAGGCCTGTTAGCATCTTTTCCAAAAGCATCCGCATATTTTGACTATATTCACGCTTAATTCATTTCAGTTCAGTTCTCTCCAAAGTCGAGAAATATGTATTATTATGAATTTTTATTAAACGATATTTTGTAGATGAACACGATGCATATCGGATTCAAGTGATATTTTATAGAGATAATTTTATATGAATATCTATAAAATAGACTGTTTAGATTAATGAAAAACAATACGAAGTGAGCTTTATAAATATATCCCTTAAATAAATTTATTTGAATACAAACTGAAATCCTCAGTATATATCTTTGTTTTTAATATTACACTTTTGTTCGCAACTATTATTTTTATATATTTTGCTGCTCTCATTACGAAGAAAGAGACAAAACTACTAGCCGCCACTGATAATGATAACAATATAGAAGCCTTTTAAAAACACTTTAGTAATCTCATGGCATCCTATCCATAAGGAAATGACTCCAAGTTTATGGCCTAAATACGAGATGGTCTATTTTCCATCTTTAACTTTTTTAAAAAGCACTAAAAAGTTTACACCAGAATCATGCTCTGTTTATTTATGTGGTTGGCTTCTAGTGAGTCGTGTTCAATGTTTTTTTTTTATGTTGCTTCATTGAAATTCCCTTTTTATTGAAAAAAGAAAAAGAAAAAAAAAAAGTACTAAAAAAAACTTTCTAAATAACTCGTTTGCAACCAACAATAGCATCCTATATACATATAACATGATGCACATATTTGCTTATATTTTCACTAGTAAGATAAATAATTACTGGTTCTATTTTTCTGTTTTTAATTTAATCATTGACATACGAGACGTCTACATTCCGGCCTTAAAAAGAAAATTATTTGTACCATTTTTACCCAACATAACCTAATATATTTTGAAATACAAGGCTCATTATTATATTCTTTTATAGTAAAATGTGATCAATAAATACGACGTCGCTCGCATATTTTATATATATTCGCATCTATAACAGGCGCACATAAAATTAATGTATATTATATTTGTATGCTCGTGATCTTTGCACATTTTGGTCAAAGCACATGTAACATCTTATCATCGACAAATTCGCTATCAAACAAGTTGGTTCCAAAACGTAATTAAATTTTGACACTCGTTTCAAGTTTATCTTATTTGTTGTTTAATGTCCGTCGTGATCGATCTAATTTAAATTTAATTATTAATGCGGCCGATTATTTTGCATGATCAATATGAAATCGGTTGATTTTCGGAACAACAAAAACAAACAGATAAATGAGAGAGAGAGAGAAAGAGAGAGAGAGAGAGAGAGAGAGTAGGACAACTGACCAATCATACAGCCACCGAAGAACAAGGCCTGAGCCAACCCAACCTTATACTTCTCCTCACAAACCAACCCCCATTCAGCAACGGTCGAGCTCCCTAGACCGCCGGTCCACTCCCAAGAACCGGGCTCGAGCCCACAAACGGTCCTGGCCGTCACATCGCAGGCAGAGCCAGCTGCTCCACCCAAGCACCTCCAATCCGGTTCACGATCCGCAAAAATCATGACCATGGTGTGGAAGGCCTCCAGAGCCCAGGCCAAGCTGGTCAGCACAAAGTGCCTCATTTGCCACGGGCCAAACTGCCCGCAGTATTTTTGGAGCATGTCGTCGATGCACAGCTTCTCTGATTCGCGCTCTTCGGTGGGTTTTCTCGTCGGAGAGAGAAGAGGTTTCCGGAGCTCGGGGCTCCGGTCATTCGAATCAGATGATGACAAGGTGGCCGGCATGTTAAGTGGCTAAATTTCTCTTGTAGGAGTTGGTGGCGATGGGTGCGATGGCGGCGTTTTTTATCATGTGAAAGTTGAATATACGCTAACTTGCTAAGCCTTTTTATATGTGTAAAAACCATGTATGGGGGAAAACACATACATGCTTGTGCTTTACCTCGTCATTAGGAGCGTGATACCTTTGGCTTGACACGTGGAGGGCATTCCAGCCCTTGATTTGTTGCACTATGGTTTTTGATTGAGATGGGTTTTGTAGGGTGGGGTCTTTGAAAGAAGGGAGCTTGCGTAGATTATGGAATGTTCTGGGGATCTTTTTTCTTGGCACTAACCCACTTTTCATGGAGATAGTTATTTTTTTTTTTGGTCTGAACCACGAGGTGGTCCTGGATGGGCTCCAACTATGGATGGCACCTTTAAGCCTTAACCACAACCCAGACTAATCCCCGTTCACACCGGGTCGGCCCGTAAGGAGTAAAGTGCTGGCCAAAGTGGTGACTCCATACGAGAGCAGGGATCGAACCCCTGACCTCTCTTAAGGAATGAGAGTGCCGAACCATGGAGATAGTTATTTTCAGTAACGAGTGTTTTGTGTTGTGTAAATCAAAAGATTTGAAGGACAAATGGTGGTGGGTATGTGTGGGTCGTAAACTCCTAGCCCAAAAGAGAGAACGAGAAAGTTGGATACAAAATTTTAAAAAATAAAATAAAAGAAAGAAAAACAGAAAAAGAAAAGGGTTTACTTTAAGCTTTCTCTTGGGATTCTTCCACGGACCTGAAATAATCATTCTTTTTGTGAATCACAGTTTGACACATATGAAAAATAATTGATCAAGAACAGGAAAAAAAAAAAAAAAACTTATGTACACATTTCACACTGCTATTAGCAGAAATGTAGAAACTCCTATTTACATGATAAGGAACGAAGTATTTCCTTTCTTCCACCATCTGTTATGTTCCCTACTCTTTTTTCATTCGAAATTTCATACATTTTGGTGAGATATTTGTTATCTTGGGTTACAGCTTAAAGATATCTTAAATTGTAATACATCTATGCATCGAAAGGCCTTTTTGATGGGAGAGCATGCCAAGAAGGCAGGGATGGACTGGGCCTTTTGGTAGTGGGCCATGGTTGATATTACAGAAGGCCTTTTTTTTTTATAAAAAAAACTAGGCTATAGAAATGAATTATTGCTATAGAAAAAACTAGGCCTTCTTTTTCATTTTTTGTGGTATCAACTAGGCTATAGCCCAGTCGAGCTCTTTTTAATTTTTTTTGGTGGTTTCTTAATTTTACATTAAGATATATTAAATATTGCTCTTATGTTTGCAAAGCAAAGTGTCTTTCAGCAGTACACTTGCTGAAATTTTCTATTTTGCTAAGGATACATTTACTTGAAGAAATTAAAAGAAATATGCTGGCCGATTCAATACAGTGCAGTACTTGTCTATGCTCTTTTTCTGTTGATAGAAAGTTCTGTAATGTGTTTTTTTTTGTTTGTTGAGAAAATGGATTTCATTAACACATCAAGATCACAGCTGAATTTAATTTGTTTGGATTAGAAAGATGTGGACCAACTAATTCTTTGTTTAGTGCTACTTTTGTTTCTAATTTTGGGAGTGGCCGTAAGTCCAAATCTCCACCTCAAATTGATGAGAGAGAGAGAGAGAGAGCAATTGACGCAGCACAAGCAAATAAGGTTTCAAACGAAAACCTTGAGTAACAAGGAAACTGGAATCCACCAGAAATTAGGAGAAACTCTCTTTGATTAATTTGATTAAAATCTGAACTGCCAAAAAACGTTAGACGAACCCGTCTAAATACACAACTCTCAACCCTTGTAACTGC